TTCGGGGCTCTGTAACATGGTTTCTCATGTGTGTGTTTTCTTTCTCTCCTCCTCCTCGTCCTCTCCCTCCTCCCCCCGCCGCCTCTCTCCTCCTCCCCAAACACACACGTACACACACGCTTCCCCCCTCCCTCCCCCTCCTCAAGGCCGAAAAGGCAAGCCAAACCTGCAGCCGACGAAGGCTTTTGGGATTGTAGCGTGTGCACCTTCAGGAACAGCGCCGAAGCCTTCAAGTGCAGCATCTGCGATGTCAGGAAAGGCACCTCCACAAGGTACGTCCGCACCTTCCGACGCGGCTTTCGCACCACTCTGGGCTGCGCCGACTTGTTGATTTTTTTCTCCCTGTTCCCTGGATATCGGCTGGTCGCATCCCCCCTTCCCCCGGTACAGCTCCTTCTGCCCCCGTTCAAAAGCTTGTGGATTTTAAAAATTCTCTTTCAAGCATTTAATTGGAGGTGGAAGACATGATCTGTGGATGTGTCGGCGACCTGAATCTTTTTGTTGTTCCGTGCTTTTTTTGTTGCTGGTGTACCGAGGATGTTTTGGAGTTCTGCAGCCAGGCAGAAACAATTCTGACTGTGGTTTGGGGCACATGGTCTTCTGTGGTCATGGGTGGAGATTTACCTATGTTTTCTACAGGAGTAGAAATGACTGAGGATTAGGGAGTGAGAAAGGAAACGGCTCATGCCATGAGAACAACTCCCTTCCCGAGATGTTGATCTCTCGGTGTCTGTTGTCATCTGAAAGGAATCGGCTTTGTGCTCGGTGTGGGAATGGTGCGGATTTCTGAAAGCTTTAGCTGTCAGGTCTCTCTGATTGCCTTGCACTGAGTAACTGTGAAAGTCTTTGTGAGATGGTGAAGCTGATGTACAGTAATTTAATTAATCTAAGTAACCCCCCCCCAAACTTGTACTCTCACAGTTATTGGGTTCAGAAAGTTTGCCCTGGGAATACCAGTTGGTGCTAAAACAGGCATATGGTGCTCTGTTCATTCCTTCTTTTTCTGTTTTGTTCTATCATGTTGGCTTCTGATTTTGTTCATGTGGTTCATACCTTCCAAATTTGAATTCCGTTGCTCGGTTCTGCCAAGGAAGTAGTCCTCTCCACTATGAAAGGCATCATTTTCCCTCCTTTGAGTGCAGTGGTGTATTGAGATGCTCTCATCAGCAGGCTGTTTGCATGACTTAGCTGTCTTGATGTGACTGACAAAGGAGGTGAAAGCGTGTTTGGTTGGTTATTGTTCGCACTGTGCCTTAGACAATGTGAAGTGCCTACACTGTTAATGGGGAGCGTGCTTTTGGGCCACTGAAACTCTTGAGTTACAGCAACAGACCACTGTAGTGCTTCACTGTGTGTTTTAGGATGCACGTTGGTTACAAGTATCTCTGCTTTTTACAAAATATACAATTTAAATAGCATAGTTGTAGCATTGAATAAGATCGAGCCTTTGGGACAGTAGTGTTCTGTACCTACCTAGAGCTGATTCTTCAGTTGTTTTGCTCAGTCTTGTTATGTCATGCAACTAAACCTTCACAGCACGCTTGATTTCTGTGGGTTTCTGTTTCCTTGGCTTCCCCGTGTGCTCAGGTGAAACACATTGATCCTGCAGTTGCCTGGTCTTTAACTGTGTGTGCTACTACAGTGCGTAGCCTTGCAGTCACGGCGAGCTCTCGCAGCGTGGCGTCAAGCATGTGCATGGGTGTTTGTAGGAGGAGAGCCTTAATGAGATGTAGGAGCCCATACGGGTTGTATCTTGTAGCAGATTCAATCATTTTCATTTGGCCACCATGCTGATGTTCATTTTGAGCACCTTTCTCTCCTGTGCCTTTACTTTTTTTTTTTTTTAATGATAATTTTCAAACTGTTTGTTGAGGTAGCAGGATGTTTCGTCTTTTAAAGGGCCATTAAGAGGGATAGCAGTTGATTTCAGGTTAAGAGCCGTACTTGCAGATGTGATCCTCGGGTCTGTAACATTGTACTTCTGTTTAGCTTTTAAAATGGACCCTTATGAATAGCTTCTAATTTTAATTCATTTAATTCATCAGCTTTCTATTCATTTTTGCCGCTTTTTAAATTGCCTTTGTTTGTGGAATTTGAGAAAGTATTTAAAATATTCAATGGACCATCATGTCGTCTTGCATATTTATATAATTTATGAATAAATATAACTGAAAGCAGGAGTGATTGAGCGTTGTGAGGGAGCGTCG